GTATTTGGAATTGAGCAATTTATTGGCACTATATAAGTACATGATAGTGGTGAACACCATACACTATAATAATATAGGACCCTGGTTTTTTTTTTGGTTTTTTTTAATTCTTTATTTTTGGTGCAATAAGATTTACAAACAGGCCTGTGGTGCCACGACAGCAGGCACAGGTGCAATAATGCAGATACGGTCATAACAATATGCAGTTGCACAATTTTTTGTAAAAGACAGGATGCATTTGTATTTGTGTTGCATATAGAATGTGTACATCGGCATTTATGATTTTGTTTCTATGGAGTACAAGAATTTGAACTTTGCCTTTATACTAGGAACATGCTTGAAAAACATAGGCTAAACATGAAAAATAAATTGAGGAAACACAATGATGGGCTGTGTGTGAGACTGTGGGTGTTATGTTGTATAGCTTGGGTGTTTGACTGTGTAGATTGTGTTACTAGTGTGAGAGGTAGGGTAGCTTGTACAAGCAGGGTTAAACTTGCTCTAAGCGCTTGTGGGCCTTGATTCTGGTTTGGAATAGACACATAAGTCGGGTGAACTGGATAGCTGGAACCTTAATAGTGTATTAAGGTTAAGAGGATTGAATGCACTTAGGGCGCTATCACATAGAAGAGTGACAAAGATAGGAAATAAAAAAAGCATTACATGCACAATTATCCCTGTGGTGTATCTAGGGAACATGTGTGGGTAATATTACTATGCAGGCCCGTTGTGCCATATAGATGAGATTTATCCGTTGGTAACACATGTGCATTTAAGATAGTCAATACATAACCAGTAAGGCAGTACTGTCCCTGCGACTTGCTGGAGGATTTCCGGCTGCTCCTTGCCTGGGTCAGCCGATGCCCTGTTGGGGTGTTACTGAGTCCCGCCATTGTTCCAGGAGCTTGCCCAGAGGTATGTCAGTTTGTGGGTGTGTTTCTGTGCGGAGAGAGTGGGGTAGACTCGGAAGGTGCCACCTGGATCTCCTCGGCTTTGCCCGGTCTCGTCACTGGGTTGGGTATTGCTCCATGGGGGTCCCCTCTGCTTGTCTGGTTGGTGGGCTGAGTTGTGCAGGGTGCTTGTCTTCGTCCTGGCGGTATTCCATTATTGGGTCGCTTGGGTTTATGTGTCCACCAGTACCATTGTCTGGCTCTGTCAGCATAAGGGAGTTTATGTCTGCGTTGGGAGTGTGGCAGTAGTACCTCAGGTGGGTGTGCAGACGGTCTGCTCGCCTCTGTGTGTTGCTCCTTATCTGCCATTCACTTCCAAAACGCAGCTAGTAAGTCGTCGAGTTTAGACATGAGGTCTGCCATGTGTCGAGCACACGTGGCAGCAGCCATATTGCAGGGCTGCGCCTCGCCTCTCAGCTCTCCCGTCTCTCTCTAAAGGGTCCCAGCCCGCATATGTCCCTTCAGGGTTGGACCAGGATAAGCCCCTCCAGTCCGTGGGGGGTGGAGGGGGATGAGAAGCAGGGCATCCGTGGGACTGCGTCTCCGTCGCGTGCAGGCCCCGGTTAGACATTTTTGGCTCCCGATCTCCAGTGTGCCCGGTTAATGTGTCAGGCTGATCACCAGGTCCTCCTGAGTACAGGTAGCGAGTCCCGGTTGAGTTTTTATCTCAAATTTAGCAAGATTTTGTGGATTATCAGGATTTGCAGCGGGAACTCAGCTTCCATGCGACTGCTCCGCTTGCGAGCTTGGCCCCGCCCCCTTGTTTTTGTTTTTTAACCTAAAATTTGGAGTAAAAGACTGCCTTCTTCTTGCATTCTGGGTGCAGATTGAGAAAATTCCTCCTTTCAGCCTGGGCTAATTAAGCCCCAATGACACCATGGTTTACCAGAGGCCTGTGCAAAAATAGCACAGGCCTGTATAATTCCTTTCCATTAAAGCCAAAAACAATTGCATTAGGTGGGAAAGGACAATGAAAAAGCTGAGCTGTATACGGCTTTGATTCAAAAAAAGGACAGTAAGAACCTTTGATCTCACAAGCTAGCCCTCGGCCCATGACCATTGCACCCATTTGCACAGTAATGTATCCAAGCCTGAATAAAATTAACATATGAAAATAAATATAACCTTGTTCACGCCATATTTTTGGGGGAAGATTTACATAAGACACAACTAACACATGCAGCTTTTTAATTTAATTTATAAAGTAGAAGAGTGGAGTGACAGACAGAAAGTTACTTAAAAAGTCACAGTTTTAAGGATATAACAGATTTTATTAATTAACACTTGTCCTTCAAAAACATCATTACTGCACCATACAATTTGCTTCTGAGTTGTGAAGCAAAAGTCTGCTCTTATCCTGTCTCACTGCACACAGCATCCAAGAACTGCCGCAATTTATAAAAAGTGTTGAGATTATAAATCCACATCGTCATTCAAATGTTGCATATTTTTAATTTTTATTTTAAAATTCTTTATTTTGTTGTGCACAAGAGGTAAACAAATAATCCTGCGCTGCCACAACAGCAGGGTCAAGAGCATGCATACATATAGTTACACAGTGGCATTCACTGTATTGGCACATTTTTGTAATTATGGTTGCAAAAACAGTAGTGTTAAACATGCAATAACTAACGTCTGCTTTGGTAAGTTTAATATGTTGCATATTGATATGTATAGCTACGCTCAGTGGCATACACATAACCCTTCCCCTCCCTCCCCCGACAGACACACACACATACACACAAAGACACACACATACAGACAGACAGACAGGCAAACATACATACAGACAGGCACACATACACATACAAAGAAACACACAGACAAACACACAAATACACAGACACACATATAAAAACAAATACATACATAAAAACAGATAGGCACACACACGACAAACATGCATACAAAGACAGATACAAACAGACAGGCAGGCACACATACAGGACAGGCAGACAAATACAGACAGACACACACACACACACACAGACACACATACATACATAAAACACACAGGCACACATTCATACAGACACAGACAAAAACTGACAGGCACACATACATACATACATACATACAGACAGACAGACACACATACATATATACATATAGACACAAACAAGACACACATACATACAGACACACAAGACATACAAACAAACAGACACATAGACACCGACAGATACATACAAACAAACACATACATAATATTTAAGTCACCCTGCTGTTTCCAACCTTTTAGGTGCAGGAGGGTGACTTTCCACGGGGGGTCCCGTGGTGGCTCAGGTTGATGGGAGTTCCCACTCTGACTCCCTCTGTTGAATTGTCAGATTCTCAGGGGAGAGCTTGAAAATACCCTATCACAAACCCCTGCTGCGCAACTGCTAAATGTTCTGCCATTTAGTAGTTAAACCCCTTTGATTTAACACCCATAGGTACACTTCTCCTTATCGTGACTTACAAGCCAACATGGAAATAAAGTTCTTATTTCATGTTAATTTAATTGAACATTATTCACACACAGGAAGTTTTTGCAGGCTCTAGCAGGCAATTAACAGAACAGGAGATATGAAAATCTACATTAAACACTGCACTAAGAGAAGGTAAAAATCTAGAGCTCCTTTTTAGGAAGTGTGTTTTATGTGTCTGGAGTCAGTCATATTTGTGACAGTTTATAAAAGTGACAATTTAACAGAAATCTGTACTTTAATGATTGGGGACAGGAACACCTCCTTGTCTGTCAGACAGATAGGGAGGTTATCTTCTGCTTCCATTAGATCCACCTGGCTAATGAAAGCTGTAAGCTCACTAAGCTAGTGGACACCTGCCTTCCTCCCTACTCAAGCTGTAGTGCAGCTCACTGGGAAGCATAGGAAAACTCTATGAGAACCCTCTGGTTGGTGTATTTCCTGTGTCTGGAAAAGAGGGGAGGCAGCATCTTTTGCAATCTGCTTTATACACCCAAAGAAAACATGCAGACAAAAACATTTGTTCTTTGGGTGTATGTTTACTAAATTGTTAAAGTGATTTAGATCCTATATGGTATGTAATTGAGCATGATCTATATCTATACACCGAAATCACTGCATTAAGCTAAAGTTGTTTTGGTGCTTAGAGTGCCGCTTTAAGACTACACCTGCATATTAATACATAAATTAAAAAAGAAGAAAATTGGTGTATGTGTGTGTATATATATATATATATATATATATATATATATATATATATATAAATAAATGACTCCAGGTTACCCCACATTCTGTGAGCTATGAAATTGTTGTTTAGTGAATGAGTGAGTATTCCAATATACTATTAAATACACATTAAAACAAAATACATAATGAATTGCAATTGTACAAACTGTGCAACCCTATATACTTCCCATACAATAACACTTGGTGTACAGTAAATATATTTGTTTATGCTTCATTGCTTTCTCACCTCCCTGATTGTAAAACCTTAAAGGGACACTATAGTCACCAGAATAACTACAGCTTATTGAATTTGTTCTGGTGAGTAGAATTATTACCTTCAGGCTTTTTGCTGTAAACACTGTCTTTTCAGAGAAAAGTTTTTACATTACATCCTAGTGATAACTTCACTGGCCACTCCTTAGATGACTGTTAGAGATCCTTCCTGGGTCATGGCTGCCTAAAATGCATCCAAACATTCAGTATCTCCTCCCTCTGCATGCAGACACTGAACTTTCCTCATAGAGATTCATTGATTCAATTCATCTCTATAAGGAGATGCTGATTGGCCAGGGCTGTGTTTGAATTGTGCTGGCTCTGCCCCTGATCTGCCTCTTTGTCAGTCTCAGCCAATCCTACGGCAAAGCACTGTGATTGGATCAGGCCACCACTTCTGATGAGGTCAGCCGACAGCTTGGTTTTTTTTTAGGCAAACCGCATGCAGAATTATAAAGTTTGCTGGTGCCCCAAGGGGAATCAGCAAGAGTGTATAAGGGACACAAATAGGGGGTAACCCTCACTTATATGTGAACAACTGTGTAGTGAATGATCCCTGAATGAAAGAACAGTCAGGGGTCAAAATGGAGGTCCCTAAGGGATCTGTACCAAATATACAATTGACAATAAATAAAAGTAAAATTTTATTTATTATCAATTGTATACTTGGTATAGATCCCTTAGGAATCTCCATTTTGACCCCTGACAGTTCTTTCGTTCAGTGATCATTCACAAAACAGCATGCAGAGTTACAGCTTCAGGCTTGAATACAGTAAGATTTTGCTATATTTATGGGGGCATGAGGAGCCCAGGGGGGCTAGATGGCGGTGTTAACACTATAGGGTCAGGAATACATGTTTGTGTTCCTGACCCTATAGTGATCATTTAAGTACATTCATAAAGAATAAACATAAAAAAATAAATAAATAAAAACCTACAAAATACATACAAACTGGCTAACACATTTCACCATTAGTGTCCTAGAGAGTGACACCCATCATTCACTGGCAGCAAGGCCATATGATATACTGGTCCTGTCCTAAGATTGTCAGACTGTGCAATATAGTTTGTGTTATCACTGATGTTAGAGAAACAAACATGACATGCATTTGAATTTATCTGACAGACTTAAAGAGATATTTGCATAGATATGTGGGATATGCGTGAAGTAAAATACGGTACCTGTTTATCACAGCAAAAAAATCTCTTATCATAGAAGTAAAGATCTTTTAATATAGTGCAGATTCTTATTTTCATGCAGACCAAAAATATGTCATATTTTATGTTCTCAGTTCCACTCTGTCCCATTTACAATGTATTAAATGACTTTAGCAGAAGGTCCATCAAGTTCCTATCCAACAGTTCACCAATGTCTGCTTGACAGATCTGTGCCTTCTCATTCATAGGCACTGCTACTAAATGATCCCTATTGAACATGGCTATGTTTTCTTAATAATAACAGTTGTACAAACATAAGATCTTCCCAGTTAAAGGCAATGCAACATCAAAAACTGTAAAACATGCAACCTTAAACGCCCTTTTTCTTTGATGGTGCCTATTTGAAGAGATGTGTTTCTAGTTATGGTGAATGAAATGCGGATTCAGCAACAAGAAATGGACCTCGAGTCCCCGTGAAAGACTAATTACATCCACGTGAGGAGCTGTGTCTGAAACGCCTTCACACATTAAAGAAGACACTAGTCGATCCTTTGAGAAGGCTGTATTAAAACATTTAGTCACAGCTGATGCACTTTCACTCTTACGACAGCAGCATTTTACAATTTTGATAGAAAGATCTCAAAGGGGAAAAATATATATCATAAGAAATGAGCTTGCTGAATGTCACTGCAATTAACAGTTTTTTTTCTTCCCCTCCTGTTTTGACACTACTGAATGACAGTGTACATAGCTGCAGCAGGCCCAAATTAACATTGGGGCTAATGAAGCTGCAGCTCCAGGTCCATGCCTGTGGAATAAGCCCACTGATCATAAAAAAAAAAAAAAAATTAAATAAAAAGGACAAGGGAATGGGAATGGGAATTTAGAAGAGATGTAGGGGTACACTACTTTTGTGTACGGGCTGGCTATAAAATAATTTAAAGCTGATATTGTGCACTGTGCAAATGCTGTTTACTGCTCCTACCTCTCTAACAGACACTAAATCTTGTGGCAGTGTGGCATGTCCCCTTTCTCATACACTCACTACATGCACCTATTTCTCTGTCCCAGACTGCAAGTGGGTCCTGAAGAGAGAGTTTGTGATTAGTGAAAGAGACGAGAGCTCATTCCAACCATCTGACTTTGGAAGAATTTTAGGGTCCTGTATCCAGAAACACCAGGGAATTGTCCAGAGGCAGCACAATATAAGCACATTCTTAGACATGCTCCTGCTGCAGGGCTGGTTCTACGACCTTGCAGAGAGCACTTCAGCAGCTTCATGGCCTTCTGTGTTGGGAGCAGCCAGAGAAGCTGTTAGTCAGCATGCTTGACATCTGCCTGATATGCCCGTTCACGGGGGTTACATTGGTGGCGATGCACTCCTCAGCACCTGTCCACTCCCGATCCCATATCTCCTAATGCTGAGAGTTCTAGCTCTGGGAATTCTAAGATGGACATATAAGACTGGGTTGAGAGATTGCCATAGGGTATACAAGGTACCACAACCACCTTTGCCAGATACAAGACACTTGGGTGGCAGTATTAGCGGTTTGGGTCTATAAGATTCTGTTATTAGGTCCATCATAAATACCACTACGAGACTCAACAGGCTCTTAATGATTTCCAAAAATTGGATCAACAGGTTATTGATAAATATTCACAATATTTATAACTCAATATATCATGGTTTGCTAGAAATCCAACTAGTCGGCCAGGAAAAACACAAGCATCTTAGCAATGCATGTACAGTATCCATGTTACATACATCCGAAAACTTACTTTTATAAAAAAAACAAAAAAACTATTGATGTAATAAAAACAGACTTACAGAAAATTGATCCTTATTTCTGGTGACAATAATGGAGTGACTATTCCCATCCAGATGGACAGACAGTTCCCAGCTTTTGACATCATTATTTGCTATTGGCACCCTAAAACAGGAGAAACACACAAGGATTTAATACACTGAGAATATTCTATAACATTTGTAAACCTATTTTTGTAACATGACTAGGGGAAAAAAACAACTAAAAACTATGAACAATCATGAGAAACCAGGATAAAAATAAACACTCAAAAATAAACACTGGAATATTAGAGGCGAGCAATGCAAACAGCATGCTAAGTGACTGGATGCCTGTCTTTATTCTGTGTCTAATATTACGGACACATACATATTTTAATAGGAATTATTAAACAAAATGAAATTTTGTTTTAAAGGAAGTCATTCTAACTAGATAAAAATAGGAGTGTTTTAACACACTAATCAAGGAATCGGAATCATAGGACTAAATGTATTTTCCCCACATTTCATAATTCATAAAAACACTAACTATTAACGGAACACTATAGCATTAGGGAAACAAACCCCAGTGTCATTTCAGAGGCATTAAAATCTGCGCTACTGGGTTAGTATTTTAGGGTTTAGGGATTAGGGTTAGAATTTTTTGATCACCTTTGCGTTAGGGTAGCACTTAAGATGTAGGTTAGGGAGTGTTTATTTTTAATATTCTCTAACCTTCTAGGGTTAGTAAGTATTGACGACTTTCAAAGTGCTTGTGACAACTCCCACTGTTCTCAGCCAAGTTCCTAGCACCATGTCATTACTTGCTACTGTGAAAGTGAGCTATAATAAATATAAAAAAAAACTATTTTTCAGACACCTTCCTGACAATCAGTAGGATAGTATGGAAGGCATTGCTGTGTATTAAGGATGATATAAATCCTTATTATGGGTAAAATAAATCTGCCTCAATGAATTCTGTGCAGACCAAAGTCCCTCTATTAGCATCACCTTTGTCTATGTTTCTTTCTCCCAACAAATAAAGACAGCAACGCTTTGTCCATTCGATTTCAGTGCAGAGCAATTCACAATCAGGATAATATATGTGTTTAGAATTAAATCTCACATTCCCACATGAATTGAGGATACATTGAACACTTCTAATCACTGTTTTGACAGGCGAGTATGGTGAAAAGTTCAAAGTATCCATGACAACTGCACGAGACACAAATCTGGTTTGTGCAAGAGACACCTGCTGGGACTAGAGCAAAAGGTGTCGGAGAAAAAAACCCAGAGTGAAGTATTTTGATTGGATAATGTCCGATGTCTTTTTTTCTTCCTTTCTTATGCTGAAACACAACTATACAGTAACAACTCTTAGCACCTCTCCTGGGTTAGAGAGGCTGAGAACTGCTTACGCGTGAAACTGATCAAAATATTTGCTGTGATGAAAATCACACGCAACCAAGACTAAGCTGAATTAATATGTACTGTCAGTGTCTGTTCTTTCATTCAGCAATTATGCAATGCAGTTTCCACCTCCTTCAATGACTAGTAATACTCTACACAAGACTTGTAGCTTCCACCTCCTTCAAAGACTTCCACCCCCTCAATGACTAGTAATACTCTACACAAGACTTGTAGCTTCCACCTCCTTCAAAGAATTCCACCCCCTCAATGACTAGTAATACTCTACACAAGACTTGTAGCTTCCACCTCCTTCAAAGAATTCCACCCCCTCAGTGACTAGTAATACTCTACACAAGACTTGTAGCTAGCAGGCTGGTCTTTAGACGTAACTCAATTTCAGTGAGCAATAAGACACAGAGAGAAGCATAGAGAAATAGAGAGATTTCAACGCTTAATTGAGAGTAATTTTGTCTATATAGAACTATAGTTATGTTAAATGTTTATCTTCTCATGTGCTTGGCTCAACAGTCTTCTACAAGGTTCTTGCACAAGAAACATGTCAGACTGGTAACTCCAACTTCCTGTTTCCTTTGATTCCAGCAAGTGCTCATTTTAAACATGAAAGAAGGATTTTTAAAAACTTTTTTATGTTATCCTCAGTTGAAGGTTGCTACGTTTTTTGAATCCCAGCGGTTGGGTCTGACTATTTACTCCTTGCACTACCTACGAGTGGCAGGAGATAGCCAAGCACATACTTTCTAAAACTGAGAAATCAGAAATTTCAATGGGAGGGAGAAGACACAAGGGACTGCCAGGAAAATGCTCCGTAAAGGTGTGTAGAGTTCATCCGTACAGTCTCCTTACTCTTATATGAACAGACAGTGGCAAACAAGACCAGCAGGAGTTGGAAACAGAAGATAGAGGCACAATGACAACTTTAGAGAAGTTATTCGTAACTCAGTCCTCAAGTACGACAGTTCAGGATTTAGGAATTTATCAGTTTTGTTCCAAATTATGATAGTAAAACATGCCCTAATAAATGCTTTTGAGTTTTTTTTGGCTATTTGAGTGGAAAGGGAGCATAGGAATACAATAATTAATTTATTTATTTATTAAAGGGAAACAAAAATAGTTGTTTTTAAAAAAAAAAAAAAAAAATGTTTTTCCTCTAAACAACTTGCATAAGGTATCCACAGTTTAAGAGACTATAATATTTCAATTAAAAAAAAAAATTAAGATGCAAACATACAACTAGTTTACAGCCATAGCGAAGTCATTAGAGGTTGTAAATCCAATTTGGGACAAAAGATTTCTAATAATCAACACATAAGCAGAGAGAAAAC